AACCCCTTTTAGGCTGCACCGCTGAGTACACGCACGCCCTGCTGAAGCTGATCCCGCGGATCGATAGCCGACGACGCTCCCGCAAGATGGATAGAAGCATCATGGAAAGTAGAGAGGTCGGATGCAGTAGCTCTGTGATTGCTTGATCGTCTCTGAAACCGTGACATGCGCAGAAACGTTAGGGAGACACATCTTCATGGGGGGACTCATCTTGCCGCTACACATGTAGCCAGGCACCTTCAGCATCTTATCTTCACAACCTTGCTGCTGTGTTCACCCGGGGAAATACCTGGGATTTCTGGCTATGGGAAACATGTGCTTTACTCTCCTTCCGCTCCATGATAGCATCGGTGCTTTGTGATTGGCTGCACCCAGTGCTGTCACATGGAGTGTGGGAGAGTCCAGTGACTTCAGGCTTCTACATTACTTAACCCCTATAGTAGAACAGGGCGCTGAGTTCTCACACTTAGGCGTTAGTCCCTGAACTCAATTCAATAAAAGCCTATGTGTCCATGCTCACATAGGCTTTTACCAGAGTTTATGGGCAGTCAAACATTCTTCTTCTGAATGCAGAATAATCGCGTTCATTACGTTTTGGCTAAACGCAGCAAAAACGCACGTAAACGTGGCTAAATGAGTCTAAACATGGCTAAACACTAGCTGCGTTTAGCACTTGGGCGTTTATCAATGGAAAATACTCTGTCCAATCAAATGAATTAAACGTCCAAGCGGTAAACACGGTACCGCGATTACACGCGTTTTTGCCGTGTTTAGCATTTTTCTGCTGCCAGGAGAGTTTAATGACTAGGTGAGTTCATTTGTACATGAGGCCTTACAGCCTGAGGGGAACAGATGCACCTAGGTAAGTATGAGTTTTGAAAAAAAAAAAAGCTGTCCCATACTTTAAATATCTCAATCCTTTTGCTACTAGTCTTAGTAAACAGATAGGAAAGTATATTATATTTACTTGGTTTAAACTTTTTTTTAACTTTTTTTTCAGTTGCTTCCTTGCTTCTGGCCTAGGCCAAAATGATGTCATAAATCCTAAGAATCTTTATGGTCATTTTTCTCAGCTAAGCACACCCTCTTGCCTGCATGCTTGAGTTAAGGGTAGATTGAAGTAAATGCTACATGAATCATCTGTCCCTACTAAAAATGGCCTGAGCTTGAGATGCTAAAGGGGTGTAGTTCAAAGCAGGGGCGGACTGATCATTTGGGCACTCGGGCACTGCTCGAGGGCCCGGGCTCAGTAGGGGGGCCCATGAGATGCCCATGGTACCTTTCATAGGTTTTTGTGGGTGTGGTTTCAGTGTGGGCAAGGACACAGGGGCGCCATGATCCCCTATTGCCCGTGGGGCCCCTGAGTTGTCAGTCCGCCTCTGGTTCAAAGTGATTTCTCAAAAAAATAAAGTATGGAGACATGAATGAATGGGTGAGTTTGCTTTGAATATTAAAAATGACGGCCGGGAGGAACACTCGCCGTTAAGACTGGGCGTCATATGACGTCCTGTCAAAACAAGCCGCTCACGGGGCCGTGCAGCGGCACAATCTGTCACCGGCTGTGTCCCGTGACATATCACTACACTGGTCCGTTGCCAGTGTCATGTGACCGCTGTGACCAATCACAGCAGATCACATGTCAATTGTATACAATGGATGGCTTCTATTCATGCTATCCATTGTGTACAATTATGTTGTTAGCTGTGACTGGTCAAGGCAGCACATGATACAGACAGGGCCAATCACAGCCCATCTGTATCATGTGATCAGCTTTGCCCAATCACAGCTAATCACAACAAAAGGCTGAGTGAATCAGTTTCATTCAGTAACAATGATTGCAAATATCAATGAAATACATTGGTATTAGCAATCATAAAAAAAAAAAAAAAATCCTGATCACTTGCCCAGAGTAGTTCAATGTTACTATAGTACCATTGTATTGCTTTGGTCACAGTGTGCTGAAAAATAAAATCGTGAAAAAAAAAAAATAATAGAAACATTTGAAAAAAAATACAAATTCAATTATCATTATTATTTTCACCAACGAAATGTAGCAGAATACATTTTTACCTAAATTTAAGAAGAAATTTTATTTATTTGCAAAATGTTATAACAGAAACGAAGAAAAGTGCTGTTTTTTTTTTTCAAAAGTTTCAGGTGTTTTTTGTTTTATTTAGCAAAAAATAAAAAACTCAGTGGTGATTAAATACCACCAACAGAAAGCTCTATTTGTGTGAAAAAATGCTACAGTTGTGGCCAAAATTATTCAACCCCCAATGCTGTAAAGGGGTTTAGGGACTATAGTGTACATTTGGAATTGTATTCAGAATCAAATCCTACAAGGACGTTGTAACTACCCAAATGCAACTAAAATGACATCAATTGTTTATGTAATACAGTAGTAAATGGTTCTTATGTGGTTTCTTCATTGCCACAATTATTCAACCCCTTAAAGACTACCACTCTGAAGAACAGAGGTTCATACAGGTGCTTTCCATCAGGTATTGAAAACACCTGTGGATGTCACCGAGCAGCAATCAAGCATAATAAGCACCAATTAGGCAGCTTTAAAATGACTGTGATACTCAGCTCCTTCTAGACATTTACTGGTGTGGTTACAAACATGGTGAAGGCAAGAGAATGGTCCAGGAAGACAAGAGAAGAGGTGATTTCTCTTCACAGGAAGGGCAATGGCTATAAGAAGATTGCAAAGATGTTAAACATACCAAGAGACACCTTAGGAAGCATCATTCGCAAATTCAAGGCAAAGGGCACTGTTGAAACGCTACCTGGTCGTGGCAGAAAGAAGATGCTGACTTCGACTGCTGTGCGCTACCTGAAGCGTAGAGTGGAGAGAAGTCCCCGTGTGACTGCTGAGGAACTGAGAAAAGATTTGTCAGATGTGGGTACAGAAGTTTCAGCCCAGACAATAAGACGCACACTGCGTAATGAAGGCCTCCGTGCCAGAACTCCCAGGCGTACCCCCTTGCTGTCTCCAAAGAATAAGAAGAGTCGACTGCAGTATGCCAAAAGCCATGTGGACAAACCACAAAAGTTGTGGGATAGTGTGTTCTGTGGACTGATGAAACAAAATTAGAACTGTTTGGGCCCATGGATCAACGCTATGTTTGGAGGAGGAAGAACAAGGCCTATGATGAAAAGAACACCTTGCCTACTGTGAAGCATGGTGGAGGGTCAATCATGCTTTGGGGCTGTTTTGCTTCTGCAGGTACAGGGAAGCTTCAGCGTGTGCAAGGTACCATGAATTCTCTTCAGTACCAGGAGATATTGGATGGAAACGTGATGCAGTCCGTCACACACCTGAGGCTTGGGAGACGTTGGACCTTTCAACAGGACAATGATCCCAAGCATACCTCCAAGTCCACTAGAGCATGGTTGCAGAGGAAAGGCTGGAACATTTTGGAGTGGCCATCGCAGTCACCAGACTTAAATCCGATTGAGAACCTCTGGTGGGACTTAAAGAAAGCAGTTGCAGTGCGCAAGCCTAAGAATGTGACTGAACTGGAGGCCTTTGCCCATGAAGAATGGGCGAAGATACCCGTAGATCGCTGCAAGACACTTGTGTCAAGCTATGCTTCACGTTTAAAAGCTGTTATAACTGTAAAAGGATGCTGTACTAAGTACTAAGATTGAATGTCACTTGGGGGTTGAATAAAACTGATAATGCTGTGAGCACAGAAAAGACATTTGTGGTTATTTCATTATAACTGTTATGTTATATTTGTCTGACCTACAAGTGCCTCTTTAATGTAAATGTAAGCAAGATGACTGAATGATCAAAAGCAATGTCAAACTGGCCAAAACACTCAATTTCAGTGGGGGTTGAATAATTTTGGCCACAACTGTAAAAATTTAATATGGGTACAGTGCTGCATGACGGCGCAATTGTGATTCAAAGTGCGACAGCGCTGAAAGCTGAAAATTGGCCTGGGCAGGAAGGGGGTAATAGTGCCCAGTACTGAAGTGGTTAAATTGTGTAAGAGGTTCTCCACTGTTAGAGCAGTAAGGATATGGAACTCACTTCCACAGTCGGTGGTGTCAGCGGGGAGTGTAGATAAGTTCAAAAAACTTTTCGATGTGTGTTTCTTAGCTAATACAATTACAGGGATATGGAAAATGGTAGGGTCTCACACACACACTCAGGTTGAACTGGATGGACTGGCGTCTTTATTCATACTCATCCTTTCCAGTTATGAAAGACCTGATCTATTTTTCTAATTTCTAAGTTCATATGCTGAGAAATAGCCTGCAAAGAGCACCCATTGTGTATTGTAGAAAGCGCCAAAGAGGCTGGTGTGGAACATGAGCATCATCTGGTGGAAAATTTGTGAATAGTACGCTGTAGAGGTCTCCACCAGATAAATTGGCTCATTCTGTTATGTCTTCTAGATTATTTTCCAGTGCGTGAATCTTGGGGTGCACTGACTTGAGTCGTTTTGTACAAATCATCTGTATAGACATGGTCAAGCTTTAAAAAAAGGGGTTAGGTTGATTTACAAAAAGATTAGAGGATGTTCAACTAGCGAATGTTAATATTAACTAAGGGGTCTATTTGTAAAACATTCTTTGCATGAATGCCAGAAACATTCATGTAAGCTGAACAAAATGTAACCCCATTTTTTTCTAACAGATTCATTCCTGTATCATCAGCTCCAGGTGTATTAACCACTTGCCTACTTGCACTTATACCCCCTTCTTTATCAGGCCAATTTTCAGCTTTCAGCGCTGTCGCACTTTGATTGACAATTGCGCGGTCATGCAAGATTGTACCCATATGAAATTTTTATCATTTTTTCCTCACAAATAGAGCTTTCTTTTGGTGGTATTTAATTGCCACTGGGTACTTTACTTTTTGCGCTATAAACAGAAAAATTGCAAAAAATTAAAAAAAAAAAGTTTCTTTGTTTCTATTATTAAATTTTTCAAACAGGTAATTTTTCTCCTTCACAGATGTGCGTTGATGAGGCAGCACTGATGGGCACTAATAGGCAACACTGATGGGCACTAATAGGCAGCACTGATAGGCGGCACTGATAGGCAGCACTAATGAGGTGTCACGGATAGGCGGCACTGATAGGCAGCACTAATGAGGTGTCACGGATAGGCGGCACTGATAGGTGGCACTTATAGACAGCACTGATAGGTGGCACTGACTGGCATCACTGCTGGGCACTGACTGGCGGCACTGCTGGGCACTGACTGGCACATCTGCTGGGCACTGACTGGCAGCACTGCTGGGCTGCACTGATGGGCACTGGTGGGTGGCACTGGAGGGCAAGGTGGGTGGCACTGGTGGGCACAGGTGGGTGGGCACAGGTGGGTGGCACTGCTGGGCACAGGTAGGTGGCACTTCTGGGCACAGGTGTATGGCACTGATGGGTGGCACAGGTGGGTGCACTGCTGGGCACATGAGGGTGCACTGCTGGGCACATGAGGGCGCACTGCTGGGCACAGGTGGGCGGAACTGGTAGGTGGCACTGTTGGGCACTGATCATCAGGGCCCTGATGATCGGTGCCGATCCCTGATCTGACAACTGCCGGTTTCTCGGCAATACTTTCCTCACGATCTGACAGCGTGAGGAAAGTGCAGCCGAGAACTGGTAATTGCATTTCCCGGTGATCAGCGTGTCATTGGACACGGCTGATCACGTGGGAAAAGGCCGCTGTAATTGGCCTTTTACCACATCACGTGATCAGCTGTGTCCATAGGACACAGCGATCACGAAGATCGGCGGGTGCGCACCCCCGGGGGCGCGCAGGAGAACGTGTTCTGGTAGGACGTCATATGACGCCCTCCCAGAACTGGCCGGCCGCAGTGTAGCTGTCATTCGGCTATCTGCGGTTGGCAAGTAGTTAAAACAACACTTGTGCAAAGTCTCAGGCTAGGTTCACACCTATGCAGTATGTGTTTGATCCATTTCTGCAGTGCGTTTTGCAGGTGTGTGTTTGATGCATTTTTGCCTTTTTGTTTTCTTGTTGCTAGGCAGATTTAAAACGCAGCAAAAACGCAGCAAAAACACACTACATGCTTTTCTGTAGCATTTCCATTGAAGTCTATAGAACCAAAAATGCAACTCTTTGCGTTTAAAAAAGTCCCTGACCCTTTCCAAAACACGCACCAGGTGAAAACGCGGAGATGTGAACCCGTCCCATAGGAAATCATATTAAATGGACTGTAGTGAATTTCTGAAAAATGCAGCGGAAAACGCATAGGTGTGAACCTAGCCTCACAGACATCTTCTATAAGTGCTCATTCTGACAAGTGGCTAGAGTGCAGCATTCAGATGTGATTAAACTCTGTATCTGGACACGGCAGCATTCTGTGCTATTGCCACATACAAACTAGATAATTATTAAGATCATATTTGTGTGCATGATTAGCTGCTTCCAGTTTATGTGCATCCAGAAACCCCATAATACATCCGGAGTGCATTTTTGTAGTGTGAACTGGCCCTAAAACTGAAAGTTCAGGGCTTATTCACACATCGGAAAATTCAAATTAATGTCTTGCCTTAACATAACATACATTAATGCTTGACGTAATGGGGAAGGTTTACTAAAACTGGTGCACACACAATCTGGTGCAGCTGTGCACAGTAATCAATTAGAGTCTAACTTTTGCTTGTTCAGTTAAGCAGGCCATGCATGGGTCGAATTCTGAACGATTTTTCATTCACAAATCGAAAACATAATTTGTAATCCGATGGTGCCACCAATGATTTCGAAAATCAGTCATTTTAATGAATTTTCCAGCATGCCCAATAAACGAAATGGGGAGGAACCACGAAAATCAGCTGGTTTTATTGCCCCACTAACTGAGTGGGGCAATAAAACCTGGCAATAAAACCTGGAAGCTGATTGGTTACTGTGCACAGCTGCACCAGATTCTGTGCGCACCAGTTTTAGTAAACCTCCCCCATTATGTCGAGCATTAATGTATGGTATGTTAAGGCAGGACATTAATTTGAATTTGCCACAATGGACCAAAATCACTCCAGCGGCAAGTTTCCCTAGTCCAGCGTAGCACACTGCAACATACACTACTGGCAAGTGTATTGGAAAGGTGCATTGGGGTGCCATTATATACTTTAATTACTGTACATAGAGGAAGTTGCATGTGGTATGAAGTGGAGACGTTGGTGGAAGTGGCAGCAGAGGAACTCTGCACTGAACACTTTAATTTCCTAGCATTCCCCTGATGACCATCCCAGTGCCTGGAAGAGGTTGATCCACACATCTCCCAAAGGGGAATTTTGGCTGACCATCTTTCCTGTAACCAAAAGGAGGGCCATCTACCCCCAGGCTGTACACAGATCCACCCTAAGAAGGGTTACCTGACAGACCACCTCTATACTATACAACGTGCTACTTATATGCGCATCTGGTGAGTGCGCATTGTATCCATATACCTGCACACCCACCTGAGTGTTTCAAGTTTACTGGGAATAATAGTGTCATCTGGAGAGCATTTTTAATGAACTGTGTTTTTCTTAACATTTCGAGAATTATATGACATAAACGCATGTTTAGCCACGGTGAGTTTTCCTCAGAGATATTTTGAACTTTTTATAATTTTATATTATGAATTGACGTTTTTATGGTCTACACTCAAATTCCTATCTATGTGCGTTTTCCTAGATGAATTATATTTGACTTAAATCATTTTTTAGCGCTACACTTTTATATATATTTTTACTTGAAGGCTTATGTTTTTTTTTCCTTTTAGTGCAATAGCTGCTTCCATAACTTAGCGCTCGCTTTTACTATTTTATACTGTACATATACTGCATATTGCATGTTAATACAGAACAATGGTGTAAATGGTTGGGCTTTAAAACTGCAAAATGTATGCGGCTATGATTTCTCTGTGTAGCGCCACTAGCTGTAGTTAATTTGCTCATAGCCATCAAACAAAAGCAAGGAAATTCTATTTATCTTTTTTTTTTTTTAACTATGTTGTGAGTTGGTCGTTTCTATTTTCAGTATGGAAAAAATCAATCTGCATTGCTTATCTGCAATCTAGTTCTGTTTCCTGTTTTTGTACCTCTAAAGCAAAAGCAAAACTAGGTGGCTAGGTGGAGTTACCACTAGCTGACAGATGTCCGGTAAGGTTGGGATTTCTGAGAAGTTGAAATTTTGGTCTGCCAGCCTGGACAATAAACTGCCAAAATGCTGCTTAGGAAGGATATTCATAACTTTAACAATACTGACACCTGCTGGTACAGGTGAGAGCTGCAACTTTTTTTCTTTTTTAAATACTGTTTGTTGTATAAAAGAGGAGTATGGCCGTACTTCTCTTCTGGGTCATAGGAGTGCACTTACTTTTGCATTTCTGTGACCCAGAATCAGCCAACAACAGGCTAAAGCCTGCTGTTGACTGAAATCACAGAGCCAGTCCAGGGTCTGGAAGGATCCAACAATAATTTTGACATCCACCTAGATGCCTAGTTGGCAGCTGGCTTAACGTCTCAGAGCTCTGCTAGGAGCCTGAGACAGCTGCTTCTGCCCCCTCTTCAGCCCAATGCTCAAGTGAGTGCTGGAGGAGCAGAGCGGAGAGCGGTGACTGACAGCTCTCCGCTCTGAAAAGACCGAGAACTGAAGGACTGAGCGAATTGCGGCCAGTACAGTGAGTAATAGCTTCATGTGTCTGGACTAAATTCAATAGAATAAGCTCCCAACACAAATCCCCCCCCCCCCTTGCCTTCTCTGTTGAGAAAAGTTCTTTCATTGCTTTCACTGCGTGGAAAAAAGCCTAAAAAAAAAGAAAATGAATGTAGCCACCAGAACTAAGAGACTCTTTCAATTTGCACTGAATCCGCACTCTGGTTGCACCAGACATATGTGAACAGGCACAATAGAAAGCAATGTTATTTCACATGTCATGCGAACTGGATGCGGTTCAAAACACATACAATTTGCATATATGTGAACCGTCTCTCAGGGTTGAGTTTAGGGTTTAGATACCACTTTAACATAAAACTCAACTCCAGGAACAAGAAAAATATTACTCTTGCAGAGGAGCCCCCCCCCCTTACCTTGCTCCCCGCTTCTGTAGGCTCCCTCCATCCCTGCAATTGCTCCCACAGAGTCTCCTCTATAAGGCGTTCCTCACCAATGTCACTCACCTGTCGTCGTATATATATATATATATATATTATATATATATATATATATAAACATCCCAGCCACGGCACCACCTGCCTGGAGTTTGCATGTTCTCCCTGTGCCTGTGTGGGTTTCCTCCAGGTACTCCGGTTTCCTCCCACACTCCAAAGACATGCTGGTAGGTTAATTGGATCCTGTCTAAATTGTCCCTAGTATGTGTATGTATTAATGTGAGTTAGGGACCTTAGATTGTACACCCCTTGAAGGTAAGGGAATGATGTGAATGTACAATATATATGTAAAAGCGCTGCGTAAATTGATGGCGCTATATAAGTACCTGAAATAAATAAATATATTGCAAGGTTATTATCCCTGCATTGTATTTGATGATGCAGAGAGACTTCCCACAGCTGGAAGTGGAGGAGAGAAGAAGAAAGAGTTGTGTCAGGCAGGGGCGAACTGACCATTTGGAAACTCAGGCACTGTCCCAGGGCCCGGGGTCAGTAGGGGGCCCCATGAGATGCCCCTGGTATCTTTTTCATAGGCTTTTTATGAGTTTGGGCAAGGACACAGGGGCCCCATGATCCCCTATTGCCCGGGGGCCCCATGAGTTGTCAGTCTGCCCCTGGTGTCAGGGAGTATCATAAGTAACACAGCCTCTTCAGCTTCCCCTAGACCTAACAAGCGATTAAACCTTGCAGTGAACTACACCACTTCAAGTGTTTTTTATTCTCCATTCCAGAGTTGGACTTTAGGTTATTAAAGCTGCAAGCTTTTGGAGTACCTTACATCCATAAGACTAAGTTCACACTAGCTTTGTTAGCAGGCATTAGACAGGTGTTTGGGAAGCGTTTTTAACGCTCCTCAAACGCCTCTGAAAATTCTACACATGGCAGCACACAGTGCTGTTCACACTGAAGCATTAGTGTCTCTGCAAAATTGACACCTCAAGTCCAGTCAGGAGGAGTTAAAGCCTCCCATTCAAGTCTATGGTGATGCTCCTCAAATGCCTGGAAGGTGTTTGCGGGGCATTTGCAAGGCAATTGCAAGGCGTTTGCAGAGTGTTAATACCATTAAACTTCATTAGAGGTGTTTTGACGCTTGAAAAACGCCTATCAAAAACCTCAAAAATGCCCAAAACGCATTTGGAGAGCGTTAAAAACGCTTCCCAAACGCCTGTCTTAGGCCTGTCAAACACTATAGGGTTATTTGGCAAGAGTTAGAAATTAGTCAAGTATGTACAGGAGCCAACCCTGACCGCTGGTCGTGGGAAAACGCAAATTGCGGCAAAATGCGGTAACCACGGAACAGCAATTTTGCTGCATTTTGTGCTTTCCCGCAGCCGGTGGTCAAAACGTTCCTATCCTGAACGCGATTATTCTGCGTT